AGCGGTTTTACCTCTTTCTTGGTGAACTTTGGAGAGTGGTCGTTTTTGTCATCGATCATGATGGTGGCTGTGGCCGTGCCTGTTAATCCGACATCCAGTCCAGCCATATCCTGAGCTTCGATGATCAATTCATACTTGGGATTTTCCAGAGTCTGCAAAGCACACAAACAAAGGGAGAAGGTGGCATTTAGATTTGGGTCATTGCTTTGGAAAGGTGACATGTGTGTTCTTTCTCCCCACTCCTCCACGGAGGGCAGGGTCTTCCAGCAGTCACAGCGTTAACAAACTGTCCAGAGCCACTATTTAGAGATTGGACGTGGCTGGGGGTAGAGCCTATTTACTGTCCCTGTTCAGGGGAACATTGGACACATTCCGGAATGTTCCATTTCCTGGGCTTGGGTGTACACTGTATGTGCGGTGTTCATACCCCATCTGCCATTTCACAGTGACCTCATGAAGCTGATCTCAAAATGAGGTTAACTTTAATGGTGGGTTGAGGACCAACATGGGAGCTCTAGGAACTCACATCTGAATTACTATACTTTGTGGAAATCCTCACTGTCAATCATTTCAGCAAGCAGCTCAATTATTCTTACCATTATACAGATGGAGAAAAAACAACTGAGGTTTAGAGTCATTTATACTATATTTCTTTCAAGTAATTTTAGTCTTATATGATATTATACAGGGTGCCCATACAGAGTTTATCTGCAATTTTCTATATATATGTATGTGTATATATATTTTGGAGATAGAGTCTTACTTTGTCACCCTTGGTAGAGTGTTATGGCATCATAGCTCACAGAAACCTCAAACTCCTGGGCTCAAGAGATCCCCTTGCCTCAGCCTCCAGGCGTCCTCCACAACACCTGATATTTTTAGAGATGATGTCTTGCTCTTCCTCAGGCTGGTCTCAAACCCAGGAGCTCAGGCAATCCACCCGCCTCAGCCTCCCAGAGTGCTAGGATGACAGGCGTGAGCCACCATGCCTGGTGCACTTTACTATGTTAAATTATTCTAAATTGCACACAGACGTCACATCCACCCTGTACCTGTAAGATGCACTTAATCCAACCATGATCTGATAAATTTAACACAAGCAATATTGTACTATTATTTCTTTTGCTATATGAGGCTTGACATTTAAGTTCATGAACTCATCCTAGAAAAAGTGCTACACACCTCACTGCTGAAAATCACGACAGTCACATTTGAAGTGCTCCCCTTGGTCATCTGGTGGCCACAGTGATACTTGGCAATGAGGTATGCAGCACTTTTTCTCGGATAAGTTCACAAATTAAATTGTCAGAGCTTGTACAACAACAGTTCTGATGGCCATTCCAGGAGAAGAGCTCCAAAATTGCTTTAGGGGCTGGCGTTGTGCACAGCTTCCCAGGGGGAGTACCCTACAAGGTAACCGTAGAGACAGTCAGCAGTGAGGCATGCAGTGAGCATTTCTTCTAGGATGAGTTTGCAAACTTAATTGTCCAGCCTTATACATGTTTTTCATTCAAATAATTTGACAGGTATTTAGCCACCATGTTCAAACGTTCAAAATAACTAACCAACAGCTCTGATTCTAAGATGAAGAGCACCGGGGCTGGGAAATGGCAGCCCTGTGTTTATTTAACCTGCCTCCTGGAGTGCACCTGCTTGATTTGGTCAGACCACAGCCCTTTCCCCTTCTGTGAGGTAGCACCCCACATTTATTTTGGGGTCCTCTCTCTCTCTTCTTCTCTGCCTGTGTGCTTTGGGTTGGATTCCTCCCTCACCAGTGGACTCTGGAATGAGCCCTGGTGAGGGGAGACTGACAAGTAGGTCCATCTGTTCGAGGGGTGTAACAATTAGATCAAGACCAGGCCAGGCCCTGTGTCTGGCAGGCAGGGGATAGAAGCTCTGTGTCCCTACAAAAGGAGCCTGGAGGTGTTTAGCTGGGGCAGCTAGGGGGGCCATCTCATGACCACCACAGGGGTGGTGCAGGGCAAGCCTGTCTAAGCATGAAGCCAATCTACTGAATTATACTTGAACCTTAGGGGAAAGAGAAATGGTTTTCACTACTCTTCTGGGTCCACTTCATCACGCCATGTCTGAAGCCAGTGTTGCCCACGGACTTTTCAGCTAATAAGGGCCTTAATTTTCCTTATTTGCTTAAACCAGTTTGGATTGGTTTCTTAATCCCTCCCACAGAGAGTCTGAATGGAACTACCTTCCTTAACTTAAATAAAAGGTGTTTACAATCAGAGAAATAGTCCTACCGGTATGACAGCCTCACCAACAGTTGGCTTACCAACTAATAATTAAAAAGTACCACAGGGAGCAAAGAACAAAAAAGCAACAGGGAATCTCTATTTTTCTGCTAAAGTCGAAAGTTTACATGGTAAATATTAATAGCTCAGTGCTAGCTCTCACAAAAACTTTTAAGTATTTTTGAAGGGCTGTTAGCTGTTTCCTCCCTGGGGCATCTTTAATTGGCATTTCTTTACCTTCTAGGAGGCTTCTGACCTAACTTAAGAAAGATTAGTTCTGTTGGACAGTTTGGTAAGGGCCTACCCTGAAATCCAGGATGGCAAGTGGGATATGATGGGTTCCGACAGCTCCTCCCAAGGGCCTTTGGCTTCAATTCCAGCTCACCAGCTCTGAAGTTCCCAGAGGTCTCTGGTGGCTGATGGAATCTGACCCAAACCCAGATCTGGTTTTGCCCAGTCAGTTGACACCTTTCTGTAAAGGTGCTTTGAAATGCCTTCCACTCCCAAGTTGAAGCTGGAAAACTTTACCCTGATATAAGCGGCTTTCTGCTTATCACCACTGGCAGGTTGGGTTGGATTTACTACTTGCCATGAATTCTGTGGCTGGACCATATGAAACCAGTAAATTGGCCACCTATAAAATCTTTCCTGCTCACCACTAGCCTGAACATCACAGGCCTGATTTCTTGTACAACATTTTAAATTTTGTCCTAAAACACTGTATTTTTGGAAGCAAATAATCATTAACATGAGAAATTATGTAGAATGTTTTCCAGTATATTAAAGAGATCATGCTAAATGTAATATTACTTTTCCTATGTAATGCCATTTACCAACATAATTCCTGTACATTAAGGGTTGTGTAAAATATAAAATGTTTGTTTTATAATTTACTCAGTCCTCTTCTATTATTTGGGCATTAAAGTTATTTGCAGTGTTCTTAAAAATGTTGATGGCTTTAAATAGCACTGCAATGAACATCTTTATTCAGGGAGCTTTATTATGCATACGTTGGGTGTCATTTTTTTGTTGTTGTTTTTGAATGATAGATCCCAGATGTATATGGAATCATCAGGATGAAGGGTATGAGTATTCTAAGATTTTTTATTTATATTTTGATACTGTTTTCCAAGAGGATGGTGTGAGTTTTTACACCAGTTTTACCAGAATCCCAGGTGGGGCTTGTCTCTAAAGAACAGTTCCTATTACTGCCCTGTGAAGCAAACTGGGGGACCAGTGTGATTCTATGATGGTCACCTAAGAAGATCAATTCTTCTCCAGCCTGGAGTACAGTTCACTGGATGGCTTCACACACTCTCCTAGTCCCCACTCCCTCTTCTTCTCAGGCCATCCCTTGGGCCTCATTCTTAGTGCCGGTGGAGCAGGGGCAGGGTTGACTCCACCCCTCACCTCTGGCTGGCCAATCCAGATCATGTATCACAGTATCAGTTGAAATATTAGTTAAAAATCTGCCTTGTCCAGGCCTGGCCAATCAGGGCTTTCCATTCCCATGGCCATGGGCTGAATATATAACATAAGTGAGGCTTTCCTGACACTGAAATTTAGTTCGGGGGCATACTTCTTTTAGAATGCTTAGGGAGACGTTTCCTTTCTGCTAGACTCAAAGGCAGAAGGGTCTCAAGCTGGAGCTGGGAGTGGCCATTTGCAATGCCACAGTCAATCTCCATCTCTTGAAGAGACCCCACAGACTAAGGTAGAGACAGAGGTGTTTATTTTTTTGTAACATCCTTTGAGCCCCTTAATAGCCATCCTTGAATGCAGAATTTACTGCTCAGATTTTGTGAGTCTATGAGCTGATAAATTTCTCCTTTCCTCTACACTTGATTTACATGTTCTGTGAAACCTGCAACAAGGCAGATTTTTAACTAATATTTCAACTAATACCATCATCCACGATCTGGTTATCAGTAAGAAAGCTTACTAGCTATTAAATCATGCCATGGTATCACAGTAAACTCTTCACAACAGTGTTCCAATTATTTTATGAATACATCCTTTTCTCTTTCAAGTTTCCCATGCACGGAAACATTTTTTTTTCCCCTAGAGAAAGTTACTATAATTTTCTCTTTCATTATTATTTTATACATCCATTTAATCGGTGGTTAATGAACATCGAAAAGTTGTGCTGGGTGCTGGGGATGCAATGATGGAGAAAGAGGGTCCCTTTCTTTACGGAGTTCAAAGTGTAGGGTTGAGAACATTCACGTTCACATAGAACCACAAGAAAATGTAGTCAGACTAAGCAGAGGTGTGTACAGATTCTCACCACAGTACAAAGAATGAACACGTGGGCATAACTCTCGTGTGGTTAAACAAATTCTATAAATAATTTAAAAAGTGAACCAGTCAATCTCCATCTCTTGAAGAAAATAAAATTTTACAGCATAATGTGAAGTAGATCGATTAACCTCACGGGGAATCAATTAGACTATTAGGTAGCTAAATTGCAAGGTTTGGGATGAGATGCTCCACAAGTCTCAATTTTCCAGCAGACTTAAGGCTGACATTAAAAATGCTTTATTATTGAATATCTGGTCATTGTAAGGAACATAAAAATAATATAGTCATTTTTTTTTTAAAGTGGAAACTGAGGACTCTACTGTTCCCCAGGCTTTCCTCGGGGGGTAAGTACTGACAGTGATGAACTGTGTCTCTCTCCTTTGCCTACACAAGTACATGCAGACACATCGTATACCTCCCCATGTTTAGTACACATTCACACACACACACACACGCACGTGTTCAAACAGAATGATAACATTTCCGTAGTTGTACACTGTGGCCTATCTACCCTACCCCTTTTATCTCAGAGCTTAGGGATCCGTCTGTTCATTTCAGCAGTGCTATCTTCCTGGACCGGATGAATCCCCTGTCCTTCATTTAAC